GTGTGTGTGTGTGTGTGTGTGTGTGTGTGTGTGTGTGTGTGTGTGTGTGTGTGTGTGTGTGTGTGTGTGTGTGTGTGTGTGTGTGTGCGTGCGATGAGCGACCTGCTTCCTCCCCCGCCCCTCTCCCAATGCTCACACCCCTCCCGCCGCTCCCACCCTCTCGTTCCCTTCCAGAGTCAACTATCTGTGTTTCAGGCACTGGATGCAGACCTGCAGCGGCATGGACACGTTCGCGGCCTCAACAGCCCAACGACAGTCGAGACAGCTTGACTTCGCCCACAAGCATGTTCGTTTTAGTGCCTGTTTGTAGGTGCTCCCACCTCTCTGTCGCCCCTCTCTGCTCTAACTTGGGCGTTTCGCTCTTCAACATCTCTTTGAATCTCTCTCCTTCGTGTCTTCCTCTGTACATATGACACAGTTCCACTAAATTCGTTTGTGGCATTGTATTGCTGATGACAGTCAGTTATCGAAGCATCATAACTCAAAACAACAAAAAAAGTAACGTGGATCAAGAGAACAATGATGGGCAACATACAAGGAAGGACAGTACATGAAAACAAACAAACACACACACATACGTCACATCACATGGCGACTCAACACACAATCACTTGAGTGAACAAGCCCACATCTTAACCGCACAGCAGCTGATGAGGGGCCATCATTCATCAGTCATCCATCCATGAAATCATCCATCCATCCATCCGTCAAGCATCAGATATCGTGGTTCCTTGCGCGTTTATTCCTCGCTGGTGGAGTCCATCATCATGCGCGGGCGCTTGGCTGCCTGCACTGAGTAGGTCAGCTCCTGGCGCTGCTTGTCGCCGTCAATCGTCACGCGTGAACCATTGGGGACCTGATTGGACAGCATCTTCTTCGACATGGCCGTGACCACCTGCTTCTCAATGTACCTGCGCACGGGGCGGGCGCCGTACTGCGGGTGGAAGCTGTTGAGGAGAATCACATCGCATGCGGCGTCGGTGCAGTCGAGGGTGATGTCCCGGTCGGCAAGGCGCTCGTTGATCTGCTCAACCATGTTGCGGCAGATGGTGCGCAGGGCGTGCTTCTGCAGCGGCTTGAACATGATCACGTCGTCCAGCCGGTTCAGGAACTCTGGGCGGAAGTACGACTGCACCTCGTGCATCACCTGCGTGCGCGTGTTCTCGTCCAGGTCTCCCGTCTCCGGGTCCACCTTGCCGCTGAGCAGGATGGGTGCGCCAATGTTGCTGGTCAGCACCACCACCGTGTTGGTGAAGTCGACGGTGCGGCCCATGCCATCCGTGAGAATGCCGTCGTCGAGCAGCTGCAGCAGCACGTTCAGCACGTCCTTGTGCGCCTTCTCCACCTCATCCAGCAGGATGAGGTTGTACGGCCGCCGGCGCACCGCCTCCGTGAGCTGTCCGCCCTCCTCGTAGCCGACATACCCGGGTGGGCTGCCAATCAGGCGCGCAACAGAGTGCGACTCCATGTACTCGGACATGTCGACGCGCACAATGTGCTTGTCGTCGTCAAACAGCTCCATGGCCAGCGCCTTGGCAAGCTCCGTCTTGCCGACGCCGGTGGGCCCGAGGAAGAGGAACGAGCCGACGGGCTGGTTCGGGCGCGAGAGGCCCGCACGGCTGCGCAGGACCGCCTCGCACACGGCCTTGACGGCGGCCGTCTGGCCAACCACGCGCTGCTCAATCTTCTCCTCCAGGGTGAGCAGGCGCTCGCGCTGCGACTGGCTGAGCTTGTTCACGGGGATGCCCGTCCACCGCGCGACAATCTCCGTCACCTGGTCCGGGCCCACCTCCTCAGAGAGCATGGGCTTGTCCTCGTCCGAGACGTCCATGCTCTGCTGCTCCTGCTGTCGCTTCTCCTGCTCCTCAATCAGCTGCTTCAGCCGCTTCTCGCAGTCCGGGATGGCGTAGTACTTGAGGTCGGCCGCCGTGCTCAGGTCCCCCGCCCGCTCTGCGCGCTGCACCTTGTTGCGCAGGTTGTCCAGCTTCTCCTGCAGCTCGCGCATCTCGTCCACGCGCCCGCGCTCCATCTCAAACTTCATCTTGAGCGGGCCCAGCTGCTCCTCAATGTCGGCCAGCTGCTTCTTCACCTCCTTCAGCCGCTGCTTGGACATCTTGTCCTTCTCCTTGCCGAGCGCAGTCGCCTCGACCTCCAGCTGCAGCTTGCGCCGCTCCAGCGCGTCAATCTCCTCTGGACGCGAGTCAAGCTGCACGCGCGTTTTGGCGCATGCCTCGTCCACCAGGTCGATGGCCTTGTCTGGCAGGAACCGCTGCGTGATGTAGCGGTCGGCCAGCTGCGCCGCCGTGACGAGTGCCGCGTCCTGGATGCGCACGCCGTGGTGCGCCTCGTAGCGCTCCTTGAGGCCACGCAGGATGGACACTGTGTCCGGGACGCTGGGCTCGGACACGTGCACCATCTGGAAGCGTCGCTCAAAGGCGGCGTCCTTCTCTACGTGCTTGCGGTACTCGTCGAGCGTGGTGGCGCCAATCATGCGCAGCTCGCCGCGCGCGAGCATGGGCTTGAGCAGGTTGGCTGCGTCCATGCTGCCCTCCGTCTTGCCTGCGCCGAGCACGGTGTGGATTTCGTCGACAAAGAGGATGATGCTGCCCTCGGCCTGCTTCACCTCGTCCAGCACAGACTTGAGCCGCTCCTCAAACTCGCCGCGGTACTTGGCGCCGGCGATGAGCGCGCCCATGTCCAGCGAGACCAGCCGCGCCTTGAGCGTCTCTGGCACGTCGCCGTTGAGGATGCGCTGTGCGAGGCCTTCGACGATGGCGGTCTTGCCCGTGCCTGGCGGGCCGACGAGCACGGGGTTGTTCTTGGTGCGGCGGGCCAGGATCTGGATCACACGGCGAATCTCCTCGTCGCGCCCAATGACGGGGTCGAGCTTGCCGTCTGCCGCGCGCTGCACGAGGTCCACGCCGTACTTGCCGAGGGCGTCGTATGTGCTCTCTGCGGTCTTGGTGTTGGCGCGCGTGGTGCCCTTGATCTTCTTGACAATTTCCTCGAAGCGGTCCTTGGCGAGGCCGCAGCCCGCAAGCGCCTGCAGGATGTCCTTCTCCTGCACGAGGGCCAGCAGCAGGTGGTCGATGGCCAAGTGCGCCTCATCGTTCTTCTTCTGCTTCTTCTGCGCGTTCTGCAGGAAGCGCAGCGCCTTGTGAGACGTGGACACGTCCACGGGGGCCGGGTCCTGTTGCGGGATGGCCTTGAGCAGGGAGCGCATGGCGCCCTCAACAGCGTCGAGGCTGGCGCCGCTCTTCTGCACGACGCGCTGGGGCAGGCCGCCCTCGTCCTCAAACAGGGCCACGGCAAAGTGGATGGGGTCCATGTATGCGTTCTTGTTGTTGATGGCCACGTTCTTGGCCTCCAGGTACATTTCCTGGACCTTCTCGGTCCACTCGTTTGGATTCAGGGCCATTGTGCTGGTTGTGGGGTGTTGGTGTTGGTGTTGGTGTTGGTGTTGGTGTGGTTTTGGTGGTGTTGGTGTTGGTGTGGTTGCTGTCGGTTGGTCGCTGTAGTCGCAGGTCTTGGTCAAAACTGATGAGCGTGTCTTCTTGCTCGCTTGCTTGCTTGGTAGCTCGCTTGATGGTAGGTAGCTTGCTGCTCGCTGTCTGGCTTGTTGTCAACGTTGGGATGCGTTGAAGAAAATGAACAGCCGCACCTGTGCCGTGCCAAACCATCCACTCCACTCCACCACCCCACTCAACGGCCACCATGCACTGCAGCAACACACACGCCAGGCAGTGTGTTGCTTGAGATCAAGATGTCATCGCATCACATCACGACCCGCACACACACACACACACACACACACCACATCATGCAAGGCCCCGAGCGCAACCAGGGTGTGTCATTGCTTGGTGTGGCTGTTCTCGCTGATGCAAGCGGTTGCCAGCAACCACTGGGGTCATCAAGAAAGGCACGGAAGCGCCGAAAATTGCGAGCATGTTCGAGAAATTTCCGCAATCATAAACAAAACAAAAGCCGCCAACCGCCCAAGCACAAGCGCAAAACGCAATGTGTGTTGGGCTTGTGTTGGGTGTTTGGCATGCGATGACAGGGTGATTGCACACCTCAGCTGAGCAGCTTGTCGTGCGTTTTCCTCGTGCGTTTTCCTCGTGCTTTTGTCTTTCTCTCGTGTTTTCCCTGTCTGTCACTGATGACATGTGTTGCTGGATGCGACTGGCATGCATCATGGTGGCAGCTGAGATGATGATGTAACGCACAACTCAAACGCCGCAAGGAAAAGAATGGAAATAAGGGCAAGAAGGGAAGAGAAGGCGGTGGTGTGCTTTGAGTGGATTTGACATGACACATGAAATGAAGGAAAGGAAAAGGGGGGAAAGGAATACACAAGGAAAGCAGCACAAAAGCAGCAGCAGTTAAGGAGTTTTCTGGTAAGGTGGGCAGGCGGACAGGACAAGCGGAGTTCAGTGTGCAAGACAAGCGCGGAGGGCGCCCTGGTAACTGGAGAGCTGTGGTGTGATGTGTGATATGTGAGTATGCGTGGTGTGTGATATGTGAGTATGCGTGGTGTGTGTGTGATATGTGTGTGTGATATGTGTGTGATGTTTTGGGAGGGTGAGAACAGCTCGAAAGCACAAACACGCGTGTACACATCTATGTGTGCATGTGACAAGCATGACAAGGCATGCGTACATACACATGCATACACACCTCCTTGCCGAGGGCGTCGAGTTCCTTGCGGGCCGCAGCCACGTCTTCTTGGTGCTGGCGCTGAAGTCGCTCGGCCTTCTCCTCCCACGTCATGCACTCTTGCTCAGCGTGTGCGACCTGTCGCACAAAAGGGAGACAGAGTGAAAGCGTGTGTGTGTGTGTGAGGGAGAGAGGGTGTGTGTGAGTGAGAGTGTGTGAGAGAGAGAGTGTGTGTGTGTGGGGTGTGTGTGTGTGTGTGGAGGGGGTGGTGGGGTGTGTGTGTGTGTGTGTGTGTGTGTTTGGGTGGGTGTGTGGGTGTGTGTGTGTGTGTTTGGGTGGGTGGGTGGGTGTGTGGGTGTGGGTAACAACAACAACCGACGAGCCATATGATGACGAAAAACACCAAACGCAAGACCCTATGTGTGCAAGTGTGGTGATGGACTGACTTCCTCGTTCACTTGCTGGCGCAACTGCGCGTAGTGCTCGCGCTCCTGGTGCACGCTGTGCAGTGACTGCACATCAGACTGCCGCGTCATCTCCTGACATACGTGCGCGTGTGGAGGTGGGATGTGAGGGGTGTTGCATGCACACACGAATGAAACCAGACAAACGCATTCACAATCGCGAGCATATAAAACGGCACATGCAGCCCTTCCCCCTCTCCATGTCTACTGACGCGCTTCTTCTTGAGTGTCCTGAGGCGATTCTGGAGGGACTTGTGGTGGTCATGCAGGCCTTGCTCCGAGGTGACAAGCGACCGCAACTCATCCTCAGCCGTCATGATGGCGCCCTGAAGCTCCTGCGCTTTGCTGCACAGACAGACAGACGGATGGGTGGTTGAATACACCAGATGGCAAGGAGCTGTGAGTGCTGCAACAACAACAACAACAACAACAACAACAACAACAACAACAACAACAACAACAACAACAACAACAACAACAACAACAACAACAACAACAACAACAACAACAACAACAACAACAACAACAACAACAACAACAACAACAGCTTCAAAGAACGTACTGCTTCTCGCCCTTGATGCCGCGCGCTTTGGTGTGGGCGTCCTGCAGCAGCTTCATAATGTGGTGCACGCTCTCCTCGCAATCGCCCAGCGTGGTCAGCTTGGACGTGCCTTCCTGGTACTGGCGCTCGTACTTGTCGAGCAGGCCTGTCGGTCACATGCAATCCCCACACAACAGCACACAAACATGAGTATCCTTGTCAGAACAATAGCTCACAACACAGGGACAAATGCATCGCTGACACCCACACACCATGACTCCTCTTGTCCGCACTTACATGCACCCATGCTGAAACGTGCGCGCGCACACTCACACACACTCACACATACTCACGCACATACATACACACACTCACAATCACACTCACACATACATACACACACTCACACACACACACACACACACACAAATGCACTCACACACTCACACACATACACACACAGAGCCAAGGCTGGAGGACGACTGACTCTGTTCGTAGGAGAGGTCCTGCTGCTTCTCGTCGCGCTCCTTGAGCAGCCGCTCGGGCGACTTGATGATGCGCGCCTCGAGGCTGCTGCATGTCTCCTGCTCTTCCTTGATAGCCTGCTGCATCTTCTCAATGTCCATGCGCAGCTGCGTGTACACCTGCTTCTTCTGCTCAAGCGTCTGGCACAGCTTCTCGCGTTCCTCAAACAGGCCCACGGCCTTCTGCTTCACTTCGTCAAGCTCGCCCTCAACCGCCCGCTCTTCCTCTTCTTGCTCCTGCTTTGTTTTCCTGCATTTCCGAACGCAAGCAAGTGCACAAATGCGTGAGAGCATGGAGTTGTGTGTGCGTGCGCGCGTGCGTGCATGTGTATGTGTGTGTGCATGTGTTTGCATGTGTACTCCTGCAGGCGATACGCATGCATAAGCAACGACTTCGCCTTACTTTGCGTCCTCAATGGCGAGCTTGATACCATCAATCTCGTCCTGAAGCGCCTTGCTTTCCTGCTTGATGTCGGTCAGCTCCTGCATCACTTTCTACTCTCAGACAAAAACCAGCGATTATGGCCTCTGGTGAGTGAGCATATGGCCGTTGGAACAAGGCAATGCGCCCGTCACAAATGTCCCTTTCATGTGCGCGCACACAAAGAAACGCTTGCGCACACCACAGATATCCATCCTCGACACGTACGCGCGCGTTCTCGCTCACCACAACCATATTCACCTTCATGCACACAAGTACATCCAAAAGTGCACCCACACACGCACACATACACATACACATACATGCACACATGCACCTGTTGCTCGTCGCGTTGCTGGAGCACAAAGTAGCAGTAAGGGATGAGGACGGACAAGTTGCGCTTTGTTCGCTTCTCTGCCGGATGCAGGAGATCTGCCAGAGAGAAGTCTTCCACGCCAATGTCGCTCATCAGGCTGCACCTGTATGTGCGCACGCACGCGCACATGTGTGCGACGCGATTGAAGTTGTGATTAGTTTCAATGCTCCCACAACCAAGGATGAGCACGCACACAATACAGACACACACACAACACAATACACACAATACACACGCTACACAAGCATACAGCAACATGTGAATTGTTGTGGAGTGGGAGTCGACTTACATGACCCAGTTGACGACGGCCAACGGCACAGATTGGTCGTGCAGCTCTGGGTAATCGAAGCCCGCATCAATGTCGGGCGGCAGCTGGAACTGTGTCGTGAACTCGTTCAGGTCCAGGTCAAGCACCTTCTCCAAGAGCGAGGTGTAGACAAGTTGCACCAACGCAGGGTCCATGCGCTTGAAGTCCTTGGCGGTGATGTTGATGTTCAACTGGTTGAGATCCGTGATGATCTCCGAGACCCGCATGACGCCTTCAGACATGGTTACAGGTGTTGTTGTTGTTGTTGTTGTTGTTGTTGTTGTTGTTGTTGTTGTTGTTGTTGTTGTTGTTGTTGTTGTTGTTGTTGTTGTTGTTGTTGTTGTTGCTGTTGTTGTTGTTGTTGTTGTTGCTGCTGCTGGTGGTGGTGGTGGTGGTGGTTTCAGAGCACAAAGACACAAGGCGTAATAGCACAGGAAACGAGGGGATAGGGGAGCAATGGGATCGACTTGCTACTCAGTGCGAGCTCTGCTCAACAACAGACAGCGGTGTTGTGGTGTGGTGTGTGTGCTGTTGGACACTTGGATATTGGGTGGTGGTGAATGCAATTTCAAAAAACCCGGCGGCGAATTTTTCGTTAAAGACTTTAGCTATTTTTCTACAAGTGAATAGCTGTAGGCAGCTATGCTATTTTCAGTCCAACAGCGGCTGTCCTTCCTGTTTCTGCCAACTCGTTGCACCACCTCAATGATGACAGAGCAAAGTGTGCGGATTGGAGTGCTTGCGCTGCAAGGTGCCTTCGCCGAGCACGTCGCCGTGAGTTGAGCCGGCGTTGCGTTGTGTGTGTAGATGTGTGTGTGTATGTAGGGGAGAGAGTGTGTGTGTGCGTGTGTGGGGTGGAGTGTGTGTGTGTGTGCGTGTGATTTTACGAGCCAAGTGTTGCTTCTTGGGTTCATATGTTGGTGTGTGTGTGTGGTGTGTGTATGTGTGTGCGTGTGTGTATCTGACCACTCCTGCTCTTCTGACCACTCCTCACTGCGTACGTACACTCTGTCCATCGTTTGCACTGTCTACTCTCACTGTGTCCACAATGTGCTGCTATCTGCTCATTTGTTGCGCCTGGTCTAGATGTTGCGGCGCATTGAAGGTGTGGAGGCATTCGAGGTGCGCAACGCAAAGGATCTCGAGGCTGCTGATGGCCTCGTCATTCCGGGCGGTGAAAGCACAACCATGGGCCTCATAGCAGAGGTGGGGGTATATCGAACTGACAACAGTTCCACGCCTCCCCGGCACATTCGACTGCTTCATGTCATCATGTGGTCCAAAGAACTTCACGCGAGCTTGGCAGCAGCACAGCCCGCCACTCACTTCAGCACCAAAGAAGCCAGCACCACCCCACATCTTACGCTGCACACACGCACACGCACACGCACACGCACACACACGCACACACACACACACACATATACGCGCATGTTCACACTGTCATATGTCGCACCACAGCGCACGGGCATCCTGTCTAGCCTGCGAGAGTTTGTTTCTCTTCGGAAGAAGCCCGTCTTTGTACGTCTACCAAGTCCCACAATGATTCTCCCCTCCCCCAGTCAACTGAGCTTGTGTTTGAGCTGATCACTTCTCTTCATCGTGTCTCTGCACTGCTCCAGCCACTCTGCCACTTGCTCACATTCGGACATTCACGCATGCGGAACAGGGCACCTGCGCTGGGTTGATCATGCTCGCAGACTCTGCAAAGCACATGAAGGAGGGCGGGCAGCCGTTACTTGGCGGCCTCAATGTCCTCGTTGACCGCAACCACTTTGGCAGCCAGCTGCAGGTACGCACGTTGATGCGATGAAGGTTGCGATGAGCTCTTTTGCTTCACTGTGCATGTTTGTATGCGGCGTGTTTGTGTGCGTGTGTGTCGTGGGTGGCGGCTGGGTTCATGAAGGGCGCGTGAGCTGCAGTCTTCATCACGCTGTCTCCGGGTTCTCCACTGCCAGAGCTTTGAAACGGAGCTGCAAGTGTCGGAGGACGAAGGCCTGGATCTCTCCGCGTGCCACGGCGTCTTCATCCGAGCCCCCGTGGTGCTCAAGGTCTGCTCCCTCTCTTCCTCCTCCAACACGCGCACGCGCTGACTGCTGTCGTGTTTATGATGCAACATGCACTCATGCATACCCTTGAACAACTCACGACACACACGCACGACGCTCACACACGCATGCACAACACAACACACGCACACACACACACACACACACAACGCACGCCCATATATGCAATACGTACCTGTGCCTGCAGACACTGGGTCCACATGTGAAGATTCTTGCGCGCGTGTCTGGCAACCCGGAAAAGGCCGCGCCGTTGGCAGCGGGCGAGGAGCGCATTGTCGCCGTCCACCAGGACCACATGCTCGGCACAGCATTCCACGTGCGTTGTTTTGCGTTGTCGTCGTATGACTTGTCACGTTCCTGCGCACACGTTACTTGCGCTGTTGTTGTGTTGGGCACCTGTTACTGTTACAAGCACAGTTCGCATACATCCAGGTGCACACTGCTACACTGCATCACATGCACATGCGCGCTCTTTGCGGATTTCTTTTTTGATTGTTTGTTTGGTTTGTTTCGGTTCCTGTCACTCACAATCTTCCGTGCTTTTGCACTTCTTCTCCCCTCCCCCTCCCCCTCCCCCAACCTCTCATCTCGCGCTGACAGCCGGAGCTGACGGCCGATGACCGGTGGCACAGGTACTTTGTTGCAATGGTCCGCAGACACAACGAGGCAACAGCTGCAGAAGAGCACAAGGCACCAGAAGCAGGAACTCTTGTGCACACTCCCGATGTCGACCGTGACGTCGAAGCAACCACTGCCCCATGACATGACATGAATAATGGCGACATTGTTCTGTTGTCAAACCACCATCGCTGCGCGATGTGGCATTCCCTCACTTGCATGCAGGGATGTGTGCTCTTCACGATAGGCTCTCTCTTGCTTTTTTCTTGTTGACTTTTTTTTTTTTTTTTTTTTTCGTTTACTGGCACCTGGCTTGGCTTCTGTTCAGCCCATCAGAAGCACCATCACGACTCACAACGACTCGCTTCCCATCTCCGCTCTTCCCCATCCGCACATATTCGCTGATGTTGCAGCGTGCCCGTATGAATTGACACAAACCAAGTTCGTTTTATGCAGAATCTATTGTCATGCACATCGGCGCTGGGGTGGGCGAAGGACGCAACTGCAGCCATGCACGACATCCTCACGGCCGCTAAACAGGGAGCCCAGAGGCGCAGTGTTTGCAAAACACACACACACACACATACACACACACACACACACACGCAGACAGACAGACAGACACACACACACACAGACGCACAGACACACACAAACGAACAGACAGACAGGCATGCACACATCACTTCCTGCGGCCAAACAGCAGTTTCCTGAGAGGTTTCTTCTTGCGCACACGGCGCTCCTCATACACCATATCGCCCGCGCCCGCAAACGCATCCATCGACGCGCGCTGCACAACGGACTTGCTGCAGACACCCATACGCGCGCAAATGTAGCATGTGTGCGTGCGTGATATGTGTGAGCGTATCAAGTGTGCGTATGCGTGGAAACGCGACGTTAACACGATGGACGACATGAGTGCAGCAGCATGAAGGTTACCACATGCAGCAACAGGCGACTCACCCTGCTCGTTTTGCCTTCTTCGCTGCATTGGCAGCGTTCCTTGCCTCCTCAATCTAAAGCAACGCAACCCCAGCCCACCAACAAGCCTCAGTATCGTGCGCACAAGCCCACAGATTGGTGGAGCACCCAGCACACTCCCCCAAAGCCATACAGCTTTTCCCAACATCCACGCACACGCACACGCGCGCACACACACACACGCACACACACGCACGCACACACACACACACACACACACACACACACACACACACACACGCACACGAGCAATCAAACGCACCATGCTGGAGGACTCTGCAATCTTGATGAGGAGCTGCTTCTGTTCTGCGGGCGAATCAAACACAAACGGCGTCACCTTCGCCTCCTCCTCAAACCCAACAAGCCGGGTCAGCACCTGGAACGCATAGCCCTGGTCAACAAGAAACCGCTGCCGCGCCGTCGCATACGCCATCTCCTTCGTGTCGCGCGACACTGGTATGTATGTGTGTGTGCGTGTGTGTGTGTGTGGTGGGGGTGGTGATGATGATGGCAGTGATTTGTGTTGTAAAGCGCGGGAGCAACAAGACAAGACGCGGCAGGTGAGTGACGAAAGGACAAACCAATGAGCGGAACGCAGCGTGAACGGCACGTCTGACGCTGGCACAGCGGTGCACGAAAACCAAAATATGGATGCAACAACGCTCACCAAGACTGTAGAAAAACGCGTTGGGTTCACCAGGACGCGTCTTGGTGTTGGATTTCGCCCTGTGTGTAAACCAAGCGTTGGTGCAGTGGTGGCAGTGCAGAGGGAGGCGTGGTGATCGGCGTCAGTTGCGGTCAGCCAGAGCCAGAAACCCAAACAAGCAGAGGTACATTGCATCATGTGAAGTGTGCTGTGTTTCACATATGAGTGCGCGGCGGACCTGAGAATACGACCGAGGCGCTGCGCTTCCTGGCGGCGAGCACCGCCCTGTGATGACACCTGAGGGGGAGGGGGGGGGGAGAGGGCATTTCACATGTGGACACGGCACGGATAGGCGAGAGGTGAAGTGAGGTGCCATGCAGCGTGAGTGAAGGGTCTTATCACATACACACATACACACATACAATCAAACACAGGCACACATACATCTATGCACACAGGCACACAGGCACACATGCACACATGCACACATGCACACAGGCACACGCACACGCACACACGCACACACGCAGACACACACACACACACATTCACACAGACACCTCTGTCGGCGCACCTGGATGAGGACGTTTGCCTCTGGAAGGTCAAATGCGTTGTCTGCAATCTTGCTGAAGAAGATGGTGCGGAAGTCGTCGCGCTTCTTGTAGCGGTCCAGAATCTCGTGGCGCTGGCGGTCGGGCGTGTCGCCAGATATGTACTCCCTTCATCGTGGTCATGGTAGTGGTGGTGGTGGTGATGGTGGTGTGAATGGGGTTGCATGCGCGGTGGTGAGTGTTGAAAAGGCAGTGTAGAGGGCTGGTGTCAAGGAACAGCAGTGTGCACACGAGGCGACAAACAAAACCCACAACCCAAGACAACAGCATGCGCACTTGTTGAGTTTGGTGGCCAGCTCGTGCAGGGCAAAGATGTCGTCGGAGAACACGATGATTTTGTCGCCACGCGCCTCGTGCTTGCGGATCAAAAACTCGCACGCAGAGAACTGCCAACACACAACAAAACAAAAGCATTCACGAAAGGTTCCGTCCGCCAATTGCAACGTGAGCACGCTCGTGGCAACAGTGCAGGGGATTTGACCCGAATACAGTTGCAGGGCGGCGGCAGGGCAACAAATTCAGGGGCAACTCCAAGCCTGCAAACGACCACATCGACATTCAAGGAACTATCCACGTGGTTTGACACAGCAAAACGGACCTTGTTCGGGTTGCACACGCAGAGCTTCATCTTCTGTGCGTGCGAATCTGTGCGCCAGTATTGTTCGTAGAACGACTGCACCATTGGGCACCACACCTCGAAGCACTTTACCCGCGCAATGTACCCTGCTCAGTACACGCACACGCACGTGCGCGAGTGCGAAGAGAAGATGCGTGTGTGTTTGTGCGTGCGTGTGTGTGTGTGTGTGTGTGTGTGTGTGTGTGTGTGTGTGTGTGTGTGTGTGTTTGTGTGAACACAATGCACACACAAGAGCAATATGAGTAGGTTACGATGTACACGCTGACAACAACCACTTCCGACACGCACACGCTGTTCACATGTGTGCGCACCTGCTTCCTGAAGATCAATCCAGTTTGCTTCGTACAGCTTTGGCCCGACCATGAAGCGGAGATCCTGAGACGAAGGAGAGGGCAGACGTTGGTGGCGATGGTTGCAAGCACCGCAGTGACACGATGCTAGGAAGTGTCGAACGCTTGCAATCCCTCAACTCTCACGCACACACATGCACACCATGGCCACACAGAAAAGTACACGCGCCGCGTGAGATACGGGGCAGCATGATACGCACGTTGATCTTTCCGTCCTCACGAACGAGCGTGGCGGTAAGTCCGAGTTTGCAGTGTGCGGGGATGCGGGTGAGGAGTTCACGGAACGTCTTCGCCGGCACCGTTTGCACCTGCACACACACACACACACACACAACCAACACGAAAAGTTGAAGGCATGTAGGGACCACAATAGAAATAGGTTGGCAGCACAGTGGGCACAAGCACCAGCCGCCACACACACACACACACACACACACACACACACAGACGCACACACACACACACACACACACACACACACACACACAGACGCACACACACATACACACACACGAACAAGCGTTGCAGCGCACGCTTTTGACACGCAACACCCGCGGGCACCTCATCGAGGATCATGATGCCCCAGGAGCGGCCTGTGATCCACTCGATCATCTGCTTCGCCTCCACAGATCTGTTCTGCTTTGCAGCTATGAACAAAAGTGTGCAGACACACGTGTGAGTGTACGGGGGCAACAAGAAGGAGCGTGGTGCGCAGTGCAGCGCGATGAAGACACGCATACACACACAAGCACGCATACATGCAAGGCAACATGCACGTGCATGCATACATGTGAGCGCACCAAGCATGGAGTAGGTTGCACACAAGATGCAGTTATCTGGTGGCATGTGCTTGTCGGCACTCGTGAATCTGATCCGCGATGCAGTGTGGATGGAGAATGAGAATACTGGCGGCACGATATTGTTCACCTTCACGCAACACAAACATAGAGCCAACCAACCAACCAACACAAGCAATCGAACAATCGAACAAACAAAAAACAAACAAACAAACAAACAAACAAACAAACAGCACAGGCAATCCAACAAAGCAAACAAACAAACAAAAAACAAAACCAAACAAACAGATGCTTTCGAGCGACGTACTTGCGTACAACCCTGTGGTCGACGTCACACCACCGCACAAACTCTCTCCGCCACTGCTCAACAGCAACGTTGGACGTGCACAGCACAATTGCGCGGCGCTTGATGGTGGACACCGCCGTCACGCCCGTCAGCGTTTTGCCGGCGCCACACGGGAGAACGATAATGCCTGCAGGCACAAACACACACATATATGTGCACCAATGGTGACGTGTAAGTGGGTGGGGAAGCCGTGAACCAAAAAAAAAAAAAAAAAAGAGGAAAAAGATACGAGCGCGCGACAAGCCCCGAGGCCAACGGCAACGGGCATACACCATTCCGCATGGATGCACCACCATCGTCACCATCGTTATCACCATCAAGCCATCTACCTGAGCGCGCGCGGCCGTGGTTGAACATCTTGCGAAGACTCTTCTCCTGGTACGGGCGCAGGCGACACGTCGGCTTCAGGTCAATGTCCAGGCGCGGGATGGACGGGTCGTGTGTGTAGTCATACTCGAGCTGGGGTGTGAGTGTGTGTGTGTGTGTGAGTGAGAGAGAGTGTGTGTGTGTGTGTGAGTGAGTGAGTGAGTGCGTGTGAGTGAGTGTGTGTGAGTGAGTGAGCGAGTGAGTGAGCAACAGAATATGACAGGGAAAGGCGCACCAGGAGCGGGTATTCGAGGTCCTTGAGCAGTCGCTTCTGGATGGTCTGCACGGACGAGCGCTTGATCTCAAACGAGACGCGATCCACATCGTCCTCCTTCTCCACATCGCCCTCGATGTTGCTCAGCAGCATCCGCAGGTCCTCAGGCAGCGCCGCCTCCTGCATGTGTGCATGTGTGCATGTGTGTATGTGTGAATGTGTGTCGATGACGAGGATACAGTGGATGGTGTGAATAAGAGCTCCGTGTGTGAAGAAGACATGCAGCACAGACAGAGATAGCTGCAGAGAGCTGCAGAGACACAGACACAGACACAGGCACATACACACTTGTACGCACCAGTTCTGCGCGTTCTGTTGCTGCAAGGATAGCGGCGTCCGTCAACTCTTCATCTCCCCCCTATAATATGACGGCAGCAGGCAGGCAGGCAGGCAGGCGGAATCGTAAGCATCATGCCATGTGTCTTCAGCCACGCATTCGCTGCTGCACCACGCTTGCCTCCGAGGACGTGAATGCATGCACACCACTTTACCTCTGCACTTGAAGGCTTTGCCTGGCCGGCCGGTCGCAGTCCTGCAATCTAACGCACACGCACGCACACACACACACATGCACATAAGTCGTGCGTGCACACGTGTGAATGCGAGTAAAACTTGCACGACATGGGGTGTAGAGTGGCACACTACATCACCATGAGCAGCACCAGCAGGAAGCGCTCAGCAACGGCACCAGCAACTACATCATGGTTGGCGTTACCTTTGTTGGATCGACGCTGGGCACCTGCTTGGTGATGAGGCCGCCGTCTGCGTCTGCACCTTCGCCCTCCACTTGCATGACGCGGCCGCTCTGGATCTCGGGATCACGCAGCAGCGTCTTGCGTGCATTTCACAACGCAGGTGATGATGAAGTGAGCACAAAAACACGAAGCAAGGTAGTGTGTGCACTGGCAAAGGCAAACGTGCACACAGACACACATAGACACAGACACACAGACACACACATAGACAGACAGACAGACACACGCACACACACACACATAGACAGACAGACAGACAGACAGACACACACACACATAACAGACCTGGAGGACGCTTGGATCTGAGCTTTCAAGGAAGTATCTGTTCTTTTCAAGGAAGAGGGTGACCTTGCCGTAGCGCGACGTGTAGTGGCGAACGTACTCGCACACCACAGCCGGGATGCTTGTCTTGCTGAGCCTGTATGCATGCAGTAAAGCCAACAGGTTACGCGTGAATCATGGTGGGACATGTTTGGGGCTCTTGTGTGTGCGTGCGTGTGCTATACAACCACAACAATGTAGCATGGTGCTGACCGGTGCAAGACTTCGATGATGTGATCGGCGCCGAGGCCAAGTGATGCGGCCGCATAAAGAGAGTCACGCGTCATCCTGTACTCATGGATACTCTCTGGGCGTCGCTCGGGCTCCGCAATGGCGATGAGAAACTCCACTGCCTGCTGGTACACGGGGGAGAACGTCTCCAGGAAGATGCGCTTGTCTGGCGTCTGTATGCACGGTATAGCACAGCAACGAATCGTAGACGCGAGCGAACAAACCATCAGCAGGAGGGCGGAGGATGGAGGACATACGATGAACGGCGTTGGTGTGTGTATGTGTGTGTATGTGTGTGTGTATGCGCGTGTGTGTGTATGCGCGTGTGTGTGTGTGTGTGTGTGTGTGTGTGTGTGTGTGTGTGTGTGTGTGTGTGTGTGTGTGTGTGTGTGTGTGTGTGACGCGTGCTTGGCACACATGCACAGCCGCTCAGAGCCGTTCACTCACCACAATGATGGGGCGCACTTCATGATCGGGTTTCAGCTGCATGTGCGACATGTCAATTGCGCCATCCTCATCATGGGGTGCGACAGCCTCTGCAGTACACATGCAAGCGGAGAGGGAGAAGAGGTGGTGCGGTGATCGAATGAACGGTGCAGCTTTGGGTGGGCAGTGGAAGAAGCAGGCTTGCCAACACACACACACAGATACAGATACAGACAGACAGACAGACACACACACACACACACAGACACACACAGACACACACACAGACAGACAGACACACATACACACAGACACATGTACACACACGCACACACAGACACACACACAGACACACACACAGACACACACACACACAGACACAGACACACACGCACACACAGACACACACACAGACACACACACAGACACACACACAGACAGACACACATGCACACAGACACAGACACAGACAGACAGACACACTTACACACACACACACACACACAGACAGACACACATGCACACAGACACAGACACACACACACACAGGTCAACACACACACACACACACACACACACACACACAGACACAGACACACACAGACACAGACACACAGACACACACAGGCGCCCAGGGCACTCGCTTGCTGACCTTCGCGTCGCTGCAGCTCCTCAAAGTCCTCAGCCTCGCCATCATCCTCGGCCCAGTCGATGGCCTCATCCTCCTCAAGCTTCACCTCCTTCTTCACCTTCACCTTCGTCTTCGACTTGGCCGAGCTCATCTTGTTGTCTGTTGATTGCTGTGTGCGGCTTGTGCTGTTTGTGTGCTTTGTCCGCTGTTTTGTGTGCTTTCGGTCTGTTTCGTTCGTTCGTTTACAATCAAGCATTCGCGCTGACAGAGCACCTTCACATACCCCCCCCCCGCCCCCAAAACAACACCCGTTTACTCTGGCGCAGCAAAGGCTTCTTGGAGCTCGGTGATTTGCTGGTCGAGGTGGGCAATGTGCTCGTTGGCCTCTGCCAACTGCTTCTCCACCACCTCCCGCACAAACGGCGCAACCAACGCCTGTATCTTCGCCCGCAGAGCCCGAAGCTCCTCACTCGAGGGGCCGCTGGCATCGTTCCTCCCTTCTCCAACCTCGTGTTCTCCTCTTCCTTTCTCACTCTCATCCTCCTCCCCATTGTCCTCGTCTCCCGCTTTGTCCACACCAACGCCCACGACACCGCCGTCATCGCTGCGCTCATTCTTGTCCGCCATAGCCACACCACCTCCCTGCGCATCTGCACTGCCAACACCACTAGTCCTCTCGCTGCTGCTGCTGCTGCTGCTGCTGCTGCTGCTGCTGCTGCTGCTGCTGCTGCTGGCATCCCTGGCCGCATCGCTGTTTCTGTCATGCCCTGCACTGCTGCTCATGCCACTCTTGCTCTCCTTATCGTCCACCCCGCCTTCAACTGTGAGGGTGCCATTCTTATCACCACCACCCACGGTCTCAGTCGCATCTCTTCTCTCTTTCCGCTCCAGCACCACCTCCTCTTCTTCGTCTTGACCTTCGCCTTCGTCGTCGTCGTCGTCGTCGTCGTTCTCCTCCTCCTCTTCTTGCTGCTTCTGTGCAGCTGCTGTGACAGACGCAACGGCGGTGTGTCCATCACTGCCAGCCAGGATCTGCGATGCCAGGTCGTCGTCCAGCACCACCATCTCTCCGCTGTCGAGTTTGGCCAGCAGCGTCTGGTATCGCTGCACCTGCTCCTGGTGCTCCCGCAGCACGCCCAGCAGCTTGCTCACAATGCCCGCGCCACGGCTCGACTTCTTGTTCGCCTGCATCAGTCGTGTTGCGTGCGCGCGCGCGTGTGTGTGCGTGAGAGGCAAAGTACGAGTGGGACTGTGTGCACAATCAAAAAGGTCCAAGCACACACACACACGCATACACATACACACATATGAACTGATACTCCATCGCCCTTCGCACCTTTGACGGGGTGTACGTGTCGAGTGTGGACGCCGTGTCCGATTTGGAGAGCCTGCTTGCTGCAGTGGCGTCATCGTCCAGGTCGAGAAACACGCTCGGCGGCGCGGCTGCTGGCGGGAAGGGCGTAAAGTTGGACGGGTGCACGTCGCTGGCGTGGTACTGCCGCTGCTGTGTGGTCACATCGAGCCCGAGCAACAGCAGCACATCGCGTGCCACCTCCCGCACCTGCGACCCGAGATCGTCTTGTGCAATGCGGAACAACTCCTCTGTAAACGGCTCCAGCACAGGCTCTGGGGTTCACGCGCACCATGCAGTCGAGGCATGGACGGGGTGGGGGGGCAAGGTGTTATCGTGGTGGTTGTTGTTGTTTTGTGGGGTGAGGGAGAGATGTGCAGAGGCAAGCAGTGATGTTCATGATTAACGGCAAGGGGGGGGGGGACACGAGTGTGAATGTTCGTCATCCATTTCAAGGGGGCTTATCACAACAGCACTGCGCAACGACAGGTCAGGCAACCACTGACTTGCGTCAGAAGGACCGTGAAGGGCGATATTGAAGAAGATCTTGACAATGGCGAGCTTGAGCTGCTGGTCCGCCACTTCCAACAGCGGCCGTCCAATCGCATCCACCGCCGCAAGCAGGTGCCGCGCATGCTCGCTGCGGGCGCTCAGGTTGCACAGGCCACTGGGGATGGTGATGATGGTGGTGATGGTGGTGGTGGTGGTGGTGTTTGGTAGGTGGGAAGCATAGTGAGCATGGCGAGTGGGAAGAGGAGAAGGGCGGGTGAGGAAACGTGAAAATGGAAAGGGCACAAAGCACAAGAGGGGGATGAGGAAGCAGCGAAAGGGAAAGCGGGAGGGTGAAAGTTTGGCAAGTGCATACGTGTGCGTGTGTGTGTGTGACGTGGGATCAATGGCGCTCCAGCTCAATATCACATGACAATGCGTACATGCGCACACGCATGTGTGACACCAAAGCGAGTGACAGAGGGTGTGGCTGTGTGTGCTCACCGCGTTGCGTGGAGGCGCAGCTCCGGAATGGCAAAGCGGCAGTCCACGAGGGTGAGGAGATCATCCCGATAACGCGCAATCGATGGCCGTCGCTGAGTGGGCGTACGTGTGTGCGTGCGTGTTTGGGTGGGGGAATGCGAGAGCACATGAGGGTGTGTGTGTGTGTGTGTCATTTGCATGTGCGCGACAAAACAACAGCAACTTCCACGTATGCACTGTGAATCAGCTCTGATCAACACAGCATCGGGGAAACCGCAAAACTTACACACACACACACACACACACACACACACACACACACACACACACACACACACACACACACACACACACTGTTCTGTATTGAGAGCTATAGGCGTTATCAACTACGTAGGACCACCGGCAGAGGGAGTGTGTACGTAGCGTAGCATATAGAGGACAGCAAAGAATAGCAAAGCGCCAGTCCACGAGGGTGAGGAGATCATCCGATACCGCGCATCGATGGCCGTCGCTGAGTGGGCGTACGTGTGTGCGTGCGTGTTTGGGTGGGGGAATGCGAGAGCACATGAGGGTGTGTTTTTTTGTTCATTGCATCTGCGCGACAAAACCACAGCAACTTGCACGTATGCGCTGTGACTCAGATCTGATCAGCACAGCGTCAGGGGCACCGCTTACTCACACACACACACACACACACACACACACACACACACACACACACACACACACACACACACACACACACACACAAAATATCACATTCGCACCAGCTCCTGGGGGCAAGCGCAGATGTTAGCGAGGAAGCAGGCGACGTGGGCGAGGGAGCGGCGGCGGCGGACCTGGTCGTCCGGCGTGCCCGTCTTTGCCGTCTGCAGCAGCCCTGGTACCGCCGCAGACAGGATGCGTGCCATCGTCGTGTGCACCTGAAGGGTCACAGTCCGTGTGTTAGCGAGTGGCGGTGGTGTTGTTGTTGTTGTTTAAGTTGTTGTTGTTGTTGTTTAAGTTGTTGTTGTTGTTTAAGTTGTTGTTGTTGTTTGCAGTGGTTGGGCTGCATGTCCCGAGCCACCATCAGTCATCATCACTGCCACAACCACGACCAAGCACACTCCATTGTCACAGCCACCAAGCATCAGCCCCCTCCCCACGTCCCGTGCTGCACCTGATTGAGGACGGGGGCAGCGGCAGTGTCGACGGAGAGGGAAGCGAGGGCGCACAGCACGCCCTCTTGTGCGGCAGAGTGCGACTGCAAGCGGAGAACAGCACCAAACGCGTGCTTGAGGAACAGGCGGTTTTGCAGAAGAAACGGCTGCGTCTCCTTGGACTTGGCAAACGCCTTCACAATCCACGCACACATGAGCTGTCCATGTGGTGGGGTTGGTGGCGGGGTTGGTGGCGAGGTAATTGGGGGGGGGGGCGGATGGGTGAGTGGCAGCAGTGGACGGCATGGACAAGGCGATGTCGTCCTGATAACGCAAAACAGCATCAACAGCAGGGTAAGGCACACACAAACACACATGCACACACACATGTACACACACAAGTACATATGCATGCACACACAAAAGTACATACGCTCGCGCGCGCGCGCACACACACACACACACACACACACACACACACACACACAAAAGCAAGCACACACACACACAGCCTCAGCATTCGACACACGATCAAAGCAGTTAAATCAGTACAGGCACAAGAGCCACCTGGGGTCTGCCGGTGCATTCTGCCATGAGGGCTAGGACAGCCGTGGGCACGCCGGCGTCAACGGCATCGGGTCCGAACTGCGTGGATGTGCTGATGATGGAGAATGTCGCCTTGAGCGCCTGCCCAAAGGCGCGGCCGTCAGCATTCACCTGCAGCGCTCTGGTGTGGTGGCGATGGCGTGTACATTGAGGCCCAAATTAGGTGACAAGGGGTAATGGCGGGCGTGTACGCGTGCGCGCACACAGGGAAGTGACTTTACAAATACACACAGCACTCGAGCACAAGGAAGTGACTTTACACATACACACAGCACTCGAGCACAAGGAAGTGACTGTACACATACACACAGCACTCGAGCACAAGGAAGTGACTTTACACATACACACAGCACTCATGTACACACACACACACACACATACGACCACGCAACACGTGTGGTGCTGTGCAGACAAACGCTGTGATGTGTCGCATACTTTTTGAGGGCAGAGAAGACGCCCAGCGAGACAAGGGTGCCGTGGCAGACGGGGCGGGAGGCAAGAGTGACCAGCGCACGCAGGCCAAGCGCCTGTGGTAGCACAGGGAGGGCGTGAGAGGCAGGGGGGGGGGGGAGGACAAGTGAGATGAGAGGATTTTTAGAGGAGACGCAGTCGGGGCGCATGAGTGTACAGGACGCTGTGCCTGTCAGTGACAAAGCAATGCACAAGCTCAAGCAACGGCACACAGACAGACACAAAGACGCAGACGCAGACACAGATACAGATACAAAAGCACAGACAGACAGGCACACAGACAGACAGACAGACAGACAGACACACACAGACACACACACACACACACACACACACACACACACACACACACACACACACA